GACAGATAATTGCCACTGGCGTTCTCAGCTTTCAAAATCATATTCCCGCTTCTGACACATCGGGCCAAACAGAGAAACTTATTGGCTGATGCCAATAATAAAAAAATTCCAAATATAGTCTGATACATTGGCCATAGCAATATATCGGTTGACCACATTCATTTTCACAACTGAATACAGAAAATCACAAATTTTAACATAATCTGTCAATTGTTATCCACTTTTATTTCCAACCTACATTAGGCTTATTGGAAAGATGCACCTCTATACATTTTTGCAATTCCAAAAATGTACCTAAATACAATTCACTGCAGTTTCCAGCTTAAATGAACATTAAACAGTGGCAGTAAAACACCAACAACTTTTATTCAGAGCAGTTGGGTACAAGTCCTGTGAAACACAAATTGTAATAGAAGAGCTCACAAACTTGTAGAAGCAAGAACAAATGGCATAGTTGCTTCAGTTAATGCTTTGTTATCTCACGTTTGCTTTTGGTTTGGTTTAGGGTAGGGTTTAGTGTAAGTGGTACTTCCTGTGTTAAGCCTTATTAAACGGAGTTTACTTTGGCCCTTTTTGTAATGTCTACTGTTAGAACTGACAATCAGCCTCAGATTGCTTTCACTTAGAACAGTACAGTATCAGGAGAGAACACAATTGCTCAAACGGAGCACAATCATTCTCCTGGAACGCTTAAGTTCTCATTCATCATGTGCTACATTAGAGCTGTCATCACACATTTCTGAAATGTCATTGCTGCTCACAATCAGATGGGTGGATGTCTGACACTCAGAATAATGGGCTGTCTTTCATTCACTCCCCCTACTGGTTCACACTGTTGGCCTCTGATTGATGGATCACACTGGACTAATGTGACAGAAATGGATGTTCTGATGAACTCTTGGGATTTCATTCAGTGTTTGACAGGTATTTAAAACTGGATTTAGGTGTGAACAATGTGAAAATTGAAACTCAAATAATACACCGAGATAAATAATGCACACATGCAAAGAAATAAAAAATAAAAAATAAATCAGTTTTGCCATAATTGAAAAACAAACAAACAAACAAATAAATTAAATAAAACAAAGAACCATTATTTTGAATTGTAATACTATTTCACAATATGACAGTTTTTACTGTATTTTAATCAAATAACTTTTGACTGCATTTTTGATGCAGCCTTGGTGAGTATAAGATACTAATTTCAAAAACAGTAAAAAGAAATCTTGCAGACTCCAAACTTCTAAAAGGCAATGCAATGAAAAGATTATACCACACTACCCAAGGTTCTCTTTTCAAAGCTCCCCTCCAAAAAGAAAAAAAGAAGAGAAATTAACAATATGCTCAACATAGAATAGGTGTATTGTAACGAATCAGTCCACTGAAGGCGAGCGTAGTGAGAACCCAAGTGCAGTTTTATTTACAGTGATCCAAACATAATCCAAACAAGATACACAGACTTGACGAGGCATGAACAGATCTGACGAGGCACAAACAGACTAGACTCACCGACAGCGGGTTACAACTTCATTACACGACCAGGCACAATGGGAACATGATGGCTACTTATAGCAGACAAGAGGGTCACATGACATGAACAAACCAATGGGGAACAAGACACATGACTAAGACTACCAACCAGAACATGACACAATGAACAGAGGAACCAATGACATGAAGACAAGAGGGCAAGGGAAGCATGACACTAACAGCATGAATCAAACTACAAAATAAAAGACACGAAAACAAGAACATGAAACAAAACCCAAACACAACATTACATGTATTCAAGTGTCACTGCCCCAAAAATCGAACAGCCATTAAATCCATTGCCAAGTAGATCTCAAAAGGATTCAAATATGTGTTAAGTGGCAGGTTGCAAGCTATCCTGTTCATATATTACTCTATATTGAATAGTTCCCAGTAGAACATAACCAGAGTGTGAAATTGGTGCAACTTCATTTGCCAAGGGAAAGAAGTTCTCGTTAGGAGCTGCTAAAACCTTTATCTTATTTTATTTTAAAGGATGCAAGACGCAACACAAGAGTTGTTGTTGTTGTTGTTTTTGGTACTATAATTGATTGACTGAATGTGGATTTTAAATGCACCAAGTACTTTATTTTTTTGCATTTGTAACAATAAAAGAAGATTGCTAGGATTTCAACATCTAATCCGTTTTTGGATACACAGTGTATAATTTCAAGAATTCAGTTTTTTACACTTTTTGGAGGAAATTAAAGTCACCAAGACATTTACTTTAGTATTGTGACGGATATCTGAGTGAAACCACTTTCTTTTTCTTTTTTTTTAAGAACTAAAATAGGAAAAAAAGTTTAAAAAAATACCTTGATTTCATCTTTTGAGAATTGATTGGAGCGTGAAAAGTGGGCATTAGGTTAGAGGCAGAGGGTAAAAAAGTAAGAGATTTGTGACAGCCAAAATAGAAAGCTGTTTCTGAGGGGAATAAAGTTAGTGCATTTTGAAATGTTTCATTGTTTTAAATAATGTGTACCGATAAATTATGCACAATAAAAACCAATAACCTCCATTAAGATAAATTAATACACAACTGTATTATAAATTTGACCACATTTATTTATCTCATTTAGAAAACTGTTGTTGTTGAAGAAGAAGAGGAAGAAGAAGAAGAAGAACAACAACAACAATGATAAATAGGGCCCATTATAATTTTATGTTTGACTTCACAGTGGAACTCTGGTTTCAAAAGGTTTCAAAATGGGATTTTTCGCAGCAATGCCAGAGAAGAACCATTCTTGGTTCCCCAAAGAACATTTCAGCAAAGAGCTCTTAAAATAACCATATTTTTTGTTAGTGTGAAGGACATTTTAAAAATCTAAATAAGCTTCTTCCTCTATAAAGAACCTGTTGGTTCCATGCATGTTAAAGGTTCTTCGTGGATCCACAGATGCCAATAAAGAACCTTTATTGTTATGATTCCATAACTATTATGTTTTTCTGTTATAACTGCATCCATGGGCATTTAAGTTCTTTTGAATTCTGCCACAGCTTTCTGTGATGTATTAGTGATAATTTGGTGCCTTTTAACCACACTGTCCAATCGCAGCTGTTGTTTGGAAGTGAAGCTGCTCCGAAAATGTGATTTAGAACAAAGGCTTTGCTGCCAACTGTTTCCTGACATGCCGATCTGCTCTATTAAGGCTGATTTATTACTGACATTACACACACATCTGCTCATGGCCATGCATTCACACTATTAGTGACTCTTCACTATGCGGTAAATGGCCGCCTCTCACCTACCGGATATACAAACTGCAGCACACTGTTAGAGACATCACTATCTGCGTGCATTTCCCCTAAAGAAATTGATGTAGGATAAAGGATAATCCTCTCCAGCCCTCCTTAGGAATATCTCTTATCTGTGCTATAACACAACAGCGTTAGGGCTATCATGTGGGGATTACTCTTGAAAGGCAGAACTATCGCAGCATTTCAGTCGGACTGATCAAATGTAATCTAAGCCTCTCCATGAAATAGAGATTTTTTGGAGACTTTTTAGAGAGTTACAGTGAACCTGCTGATTTTGTGAGCACTCAACTTCAAATGAAACATTCATGAGGGTGTTATGTTATGGTCTGATGACTGTAATGAGTAATATCAACAGCTGATTAATTCCTGCGCTATGAGCGCACAGTGTGCCAGACTCATTAGCACACAGCGAGTGCACTTCGGAACTCAAATAACCTTGAGAGTCCATTGATTTCTTCTGACAACATCTCACCTTTGGTGCTGCTGGGATGTTGACAACAACATGAGGAAGATTGTACCTACTCTGCCTTCCTGAGAACATTGAGTTACTGAAGTGCCATTTTTCAAAAGGCTACAGATATTTGTATTGAGCATCTAAAGAGGACAAGAACACATTGGCTTCAGATGTGACATGATAAAATGAAATGTTCAACTGACATTCCGGGATTCATATTGGTGCGTAATCTATCTCAATCAATTTATCTAATTCTGTTAGTAAGGCCTTTAAAACCTTCAAGATTTTAAAAACCTTATTAAAACACACACACACACACACTTTTGGTTATGGGTCTTTTTTTCCACCCTCTGCATTTCCACAAGTTGCACCCCATGACCTTGACTTAGTCGACAAAAGTTTTCTAAATATTAATAAGCAATAAGTACAATCACATTTTATTAATGAATAAATATATTATTAATGAAAAATACTATTGTATTATATATATATATATATATATATATATATACATATAAAATACCAGTAATAATAAATAATATATAGCAGTTGCACCAAATGACATTTTTCAACCTAAAATAAAAATCTGATTTTAAGAGACTTATTAATTAATATAATTTCCTGCTTCCTTTTTTTCTACATGTTTCCGCATGTTAGTTGCACCACATGACAAAAAGTCAAGATGGACTAAAGTTTTTCAAATATTAATAAGCACTGAAGCAGTTTTTTTTTTAATAAGAAATAATGATACAAAATTATGCCAGACTACTTATTTTTTCTTCATAACATTATCATAATATGTATCACCCTGACATTTTTTACTTCCCCCATAAAATTCTAAATTTTAATATAGAAATGAAAAATATGTTCATCATAGATGAGGTGTATTCAAGTCATTTCATGTACAGTATACTGTAAATTACATTTTAATGTATTTTTGAATAAATTAATACAGAAAAAGTAGTGTTACATCCAAAAAGTTAGGGTTCAGTTTAATTCAATTAAAGTCAATTATACTTCCTTCAATTATTCATTTGAATAGCAATTATCCATACCTCAATTGAATTTCAATTAAAATTCAATTAAAATTGAGATGGTGCACAACCCACGGATACGAGCAACTTTCTGGAACCTTGTGAGTTAATGTTTTATTGTTACAATTAAAGATGTTTAATGTTTAGAATCTGGGCCAGATTTACTACTGCCTTCATATAAACAATGCATCTCAAATGGGTGACAGTGGTTACAGCGCTCTCACCTGTCTTTGCCCGTCTCCTTCTTGAAAACTGTGTCGCAGTAATTCATGCGTTCTTCTGTGGTGACGTAGATGCGCGCATGTGGGTAGTTTTCCACCGCTTGCCGCAGCATGTTGTACACAATACCCTTGCCATCCTGCCTCATGTTGCGCAAGGGTCCCCACACCACATAGACGGTCTCATTCCCCTGGCCAAAGAAGTGCTGGGGTTTTTGGATTAGCAGAGGAACACTAGTGTGAGACACCACTCTCAGGTCTGTCCTGTGGCCCACATCCCTCTCAAAGCCGCGGGTGGGTGCGTTGTTCATTCTCCATATGCAGGAGGACTGGTCGATCTCAGCTCCTGCCTCACAGCCCAGCATCTGGCCAGAGCTGGACACTATACTGCAAACCTCACAATGCAGCTTCAACGGCTAAAGGAGAGAAGAGGAAATTGGTAAATTAGCATCAGAGGTTCATTTAAATCATGCACTACAAGTTTTGATAGTCTATTTTGACTATGTTAACCAAACAATGCTGCAGCTTTTCATTGTAGTGACAATACTAAATCTATTGATTCTGATAAGGCATGTGTAGTCAAGTTAGTTTTATGTGCGTACAGCATTTCACAATTTGTACTGTTTCACAAAACTCAACACATTACAAGAAATGTACAAATATGTAATAATGTAATTAACTAGTGAACAATAGTGAACACAGCTTGTAAAAACACTAATGGTACAAAAAGGATACAAAACAATGTATGTTTAAACTGATTAATGGAATGATTATAAAATACAGTTCAAAGGCTGGGGTTGGCAAGATGTTTTAATATTTTTAAAAGGTTTTTTTTTAATGTCCACCAAGGCAATAATTCTGAAATAGTATTACAATTTAAAATAACCGTTTTTAATTTTGTAATTTATTCCTGTAATGGTCAAACTAAATTTTCAGCATCCATTACTCCAGTCTTCAATATCTCATGATTAGAAATGTTTCTTGAAAACGAAATCAGCATACCTGAATTATTTCTGATTATTATCAATACGGAAAAATGATGCTGCTTAATAAAAAACTTTTTTTTAATATACATTCAAACTAATTATTTGAATGAGTTCTTTGGAAGAATTTATTTGAAATATAAATATTTAAAATGTCTCTACTGTAACTTTAGTGCAATTTAATGCAATATCTATACATATATATATATATATATACACACACACAATTGCATGCATATACATATACACACACACACACACACACACAGATAGATAGATAGATACTTAGTGCAATTTAATGCAATATCTATACATATATATATATATATACACACACACAATTGCATGCATATACATATACACACACACACACACACACACAGATAGATAGATAGATAGATAGATAGATAGATAGATAGACAGACATTTATGTTCTTAGTGCCTGTTTATGGCATAAGCAACAATTAAATTTATTTTCCCACTGCATCATTCATTTAAACCTTGGTCTTACAACTAAATCCATTGAGTGGCTTTGTGGATACGTGACATTGAGGTGATGAGAGGTGATGCTGTGTGCTTTCAGGTGCAGCAAAGTGTGGCATGATTGTGATTGTTTCTGTTATATTCGGTTGTTGTTAGAGTCACGCATCCCACAGGAGGAGAATCCACTTTTATAGTGGAAAAAAATATAAAGCTTTATAAGAAACTCTTATCCATCTCAAATAGTCAGGTTATCCTGTGTATACTCCTGATTTCTGTGAACAAAACTCTTACTGGAAAAACATAACAAGCAATATGATGGGACAGCTACAAATTAAATTTTAGTTCTGATTTGATTAACGGCAGTACTTGGCCTGGAAAGTTTGAGAACCACTGCAATAGATGTAATAGTCTGCTTAGTCTGCTTGCCAAATATACTAAAAATGTGGGTATGCAGAGTGTGAAATTCTGCTTTGACAGGACCCTTAAATACTTACTCCTTCTAACCAGCAGTGTAATGACTAATCATCAACACCATGGCATTAAATCTATTACCCTGGTCTTTCTATTTATTCGCTTAGAATACAAAAGGGATGCTGAGTGCCAAGAGATTGGCCTAATAAATTAGAGCATGTTTGCCCTGCTTGGCTGATCTGCCGATCTGAGTACAAATTGCTATTGCTCAAGACAGGATAATGGTGGCAGGGGTCTATCAATAGCTTATGACTGACCAGCAGATCAGTAACAATTAGGAAGTAATTTGAGTTACGCCTCTTTAAATGTTACATTACTCACATTATTCTATGATTATAAGAACTGATAAGACAACCACTGAATCACTGTGACTGTGACACAGTGAAAAACAACAGCAGTAAGCCTTCAGACAGACTTAGTGCTTGGAAAATGATAGACATGTGGCTTCCAAAAGTGGAAATTAAATTATGTGTATCAGCAGATGAAAAAAATGTATGGAAATTAAACAAGATGCACAAACTACAGTATTTTTAAGAAGGCCAGAAGATATTGACTAAATCTGACTAATTTAATCAAGCAAATTAAAGTAAAATTAAGTAAACTGTCCATTTTTTTAATTTTTCACTTGTTCATTTTTCAAACCAAACCTGTTTTCCTGCATCACTATATATTAAAGCATGACACCTATTTAGAAAAGCAAGTCATGATCAGAAACAGCCAACTTCAGGTCTGTGGGGTAGGAGGAGGACTAGAGATACCTTGAGTCCTGCCTCATGAGTATAGCCATGGTTTCTTGTAAGATTTTCTAAAACATGTCAACTAACCACCGGTGTGCCTCATGGTTCAGTGCATAGCCCCCTCATCTTCTTGATATATCACACTATGCCCAAACCATATTTTGTTTTTCTGATATTAGTTTTGTTTCTAACCGCATGTGTTTTATTTTGAAAGTGTTTTATTGTTTTATTGTTTTTTATTGTCTCTGTTGTTGGTCTTAATTGCTTACCTGTCACAAATTCAGTCCATAGACCTTCATTCATTCACCACCAGCGGTCACCCATCATCACATTTACACAAACTGTTACATCTCTCTCTCTGGACTACATTTCCCAGAACCCATTGGACTCACCTTCAGCCAATTACACCCACACACACACACACTAAAAAAAAAACAAATTTCAGTTAACATTCAGTGCCGAGTATTATTTAGCATCAGCAGCTCTACGAATCCAGTTCCTTGTTTTGTTTCCTGTCTTAGTTCCTAGTGTCTAGTCTTAGTCGAGTCCTGTTTCAGCCTGTTCACCGGTGTCTTGATCCCAGCCTGTTTATCTAGTCTTGATTGGTCTCTGTCTGCCCTGACCATTCGCCTGTATATTGGACTACCCTTTGTCTTGCCCTCTTGGATACCGTTTGCTGCTGATCGACCCAGATCTGTACCTTGGATTACTCTTTTGTCTTGCCCTGTCTTACACTGTTTGCTGGTATTGACCCTTGCCTGTTTTGACCACGATTTGGAATAAATCTTGCAGATGGATCCACACCTTGGTTGTCACACACCCTTCGTAACAGAATACTCGGCCACACAAGGATCTAGCAGCTTTTCATGTGGACATTTGCCAGGTATGGACATTGCAAGGCTTCTATTAGTCAGTTTATTGATTATACCCTGGTATCTGTTGGCTCATCTTTTACTGTGGGTGTCGTGGAGGAAGAACGCAACATTGCATCCGTGCCGATAATGGCGGCTGCAAAGTTTAACCAACCGCAATCTCTGGGACATTCGAGTATACTGATCGCTACTCCAGTGATTAAACCCGCTTGTGAAATGGCGGCCGCACCAGAGCGCACTCACATAATGGCGGCGACAGTGGAGCTCATTTGCAAAACGGTGGTGACAACAAAGCCCTGTCATGTCACAGCTGCCAGTCCTGAGTTCAATCATGTTACTGCTGTCATTCCAGATCCTCGTCACGTCTCAGCTGATCTTTCAGAGCATCGCCATGTCTCCGCTGATCCTCCAGAGCCTTGTAATGTCTCTGCTGATCCTCCAGAGCCTTGTAACATCTCAGCTGATCTTCCAGAGCCTCGTAACGTCTCAGCTGATCTTCCAGAGCCTCATCACATCTCAGTTGATCTTCCAGAGCCTCGTCACATCTCAGCTGATCTCCCAGAGCCTCGTCAAGTCACAGCTGATCTGCCAGAGTTAAGTCAAGTCACAACTGATCTTCTAGAGTCAAGTCATGTCACAGCTCATCTTCCAGAGTCAACTCAAGTCACCCCTGATCTGCCAGTGTCAAGTCAAGTCAAGTCACCTTTATTTGTATAGCGCTTTATACAATACTGGTTGTGTCAAAGCAGCTTTACAGTTTTAAACAGGAAAATAGATTGTCAATAATGCAAGAAGACAAAAACAGAGTCATTTTTCCAGCTAAAGATAGTTCATTGATGATTCAGTAATGTCATCATCCAGTTCAGCTCTCTTCCAATAGTGTCTGTGCAATCAGTCAAGCGTCCCCAACTAAGCAAGCCAAAGGCGACAGTGGCAAGGAACTAAAACTCCATCGGTGACAGAAATGGAGAAAAAACTTTGGGAGAAACCAGGCTCAGTCGAGGGGCCAGTTCTCCTCTGGCCAGATTACACCAGCATGGTGTATATTAATCCCAGCCTGCAACACAGGTGGAGAGGACTTGTCTGGTTCCCGTGATCAAGTCACAGCTGATCTGCCAGAGTCAAGTCAAGTCACAGCTGATCTGTCAGAGTCAAGTCAAGTCACAGCTGATCTGCCAGAGCCACGTCCTATCACGGCTGTCGTACCACAACCCTTCACAGTCCTGTCCATCACTAAACATCAGAGGTTGGCATCCAGTGGGGAGGATCCACTGCTGGTGTCAGTACAAGTAGCTGGTGTTACTAAACCAGCGCACTCAAACCCTCCTGTTCCCAGGGGCAGACTGGCCATCTGGCATATCGGGCGTTTTCCCGGTGGGCCGACGCACTTTTTGGGGTCGATACTTTGGCCCATCATGCAGGGACAGCGGCACATTGGTTTGTTTTCTGTATTGACAACGTAAATCCAATCGCAATGCGCCATAGACGGAGTGATGAAGTATCTTGCTCTACCTATATAAATATTGCTTCACCGCTGGAAATATGTGGAAATATTACTAAGTCTGTAAACAGGATGTTAACAGAGGCCAGAGACGGGACACGATAAAGACAGACGCAAGAGAAGAGAACAGACAAATACTCTACAGGCAGAGCAGCTCACTGTTCACGATGCTTGAAATATTGGAAGAAAATTCTAAACATTGAATTTGGGGTGAAGGTTTATAAGAATATCTCTTAAGGGAGCTCACTGTCTTCAGAAAAGTTTTGATGGCATTGTCTTTTCATCTTACCTCCGCATAATAGGCTACATATTAAAGCAGTGTTTAATATGTGCAGCGCTGCTTTGTTTACAGTAGTAACCAAAGTGAATTGTTCCATAAGCGCCACCTGCTGTCAGAGTGTGAATTTGCATTTTTAGCACAATTTCACAAAGCTAAATTCAGACAACTCTATTTGCTTTAAATCTTGTAATTGTACAATCTCTTTTAAATAAAAAAATAACTGCTCATATGCTCATTTGTTTGGACTGTGATTAAAATGCAGTGGTTGCCTCTAATTTTAAATACAGAGTTATTTGCCAGTTCAGCCTGTAATAGAGCAAATAAACAGCTTGTTCATGTACTCTTTCCTTCTTTCTTGTCTTTTGCTTAAAGAAAAAAAATGGTCTCAGCAATCGGTATTAGAATCAGCCCATTTGCTGACAATCGGAATCGTCCATGAAAAATCATGACTGCTGCATCTCTGGTTTGTGTAGATAGACTCTTGGTTAGTTTGCTCAAACAGTCATAACATTGACTGACTATTAATATCAAGTTACTTACACAGTAAGTATACACACATAAACACACAGAGTGTTAGTGTGTACCTGATATTCCCAACGTTATGGGGTCCAAATGTGTGTGTGTGTATTTTGAATGACAGTGTATATACAGTATACGCACCCTGGGTGCTGTCCGACTAGACCGATTCTGAACATAGTGGTGGGCCGTTTGGACCAAAAAATGCCAGGGCTGATTTTTTGTCCCAGTCCAGCCCTGCCTGTTCCCGAACTGATTCCCCTGTCTGCAGCCCTCCCTATATTGGGAATCGCTTTATGGTGTGTCTGGGCTGCTTACACCACCGTTGAACTCCCAGAGGTGACTGCGCTCGGTGAAGGATCTCCAGAGGTGGCAGTTGATGTTGCAGAACCTCAAGAGATAGCGACGCCCGTTCCAGAATCTCCAGAGGTGGCGGCATACGCTGCAGAACCTCCCGAGGTGGCGGTGCCCACTGCAGTTTCTCTAGCGGTGGCGGCGTATGCTGCAGAACCTCCCGAGGCGGCGGCGGCACTTGCTCCAGTTCCTTGCATGGTGGTGGCGCCTGGTCATGAACTCTGAATTATCAGCCCTGCCTGTAACGGTCACGGAGACCGTCAGTGAACTCTTGTCTCGTCCTGAATTGCCTGAAGTGGCCAGTTATGAACTTTTGTCCTGTCCCAACCTGGTCGAAGAGGCTACCTATGAACTTTCGTCTTGTCATGAACCAACCATGGAGCCCAAT